TTTCAGTAGAAATAACTGTCGTATACGTAGGTTACTGCAAAAGCTACGAGAATCTGCCATTTCTATTGCTGCCATTCAGTTGTTCGTTTGTAATTTTTGTAAAGCTTCATATTTTTATATTTAGAAAGTACTGATACAACATAACGGAAAATATATTACACCCTCCTCCTATAATTTCTTTCGCAACTTGATGCTTGATGTCACTACTTCATCGTTAATAATTCAATATAAAAAGAACAGAATTTGTTTATTCTGTGTCTACGTTTGTAATATCTCAAGTAATATCTCATTTACACGCAAACCAAACAAACGCCATTCAGATTTGTCGAATTCGCTTGAAAATTATTACGAATCTGACTCGATATTATAGGAGGAGGGGTTAATGTTGAAGAAGAATATTTTTAAAAGCAGTAAAACCATTGGTTCAAACTTATTTGTAATTCTTCTCATAGTCTCCCAAAACTTCTGCAGCAACCCACGTACATATTATACTCCGTGTTCGCGCGTCTCACCGTGGAGCCGTAGCGTCGACACACCCTCTTTTAGCGGTACACCCTAAACAGATGTCAGGACACGCATAAACTTGCGTTACGGGAGATAATCCAGTGATTTTGGGCCGGTTACCCGGAACACAGAGAGACGGACCCTGCGTGTGCACACGCGTGTGGCGCGGACAGACATAAACATGTCGATAAACCGCGTCCTCCCGATACGAGCTCTGCCTCTTTGAATGTTATCGGTCCACCCTGCGCGAGGGTACATATATCGAAGGCATGGCCGACGTTCTGAAACGCGTCAGATATCGCAGCCCGAGACAGTACGGTGGCTGTGCGCGTTCTGGAAATTTGTTGCCGAACGTTTCGCTACCAGGGACGATCCTACACTGTGGATTTAGAATAAGCTGTAATGCTTGTAATTGCAATTTATCATAAACTCACAATAACAGAGCAAATAAACCTTGTGGATAAAATAAATTATAATAAATCAATGAAAATGGAAAAGAATCTCCAGGGTTATGAATAAATCAACAGGCAAATGAACGAGCATATTACGTTTCGGGGAACTGTACTGTAAAGGCGCGTTATTCTGTGTAAGTTTTTTAACAGACCTGATTTATCATTCGCAAATAAAAGTAAGACAACTTGAATGAAGATAATATTATTCTTTATGTAAAACACTGAAACGAAGCATTCGGTTGAGTAGAATTGTATTTGCTAGATTCGCGAATTTTACAGATAAGCCGATATATAGATCTACAATTCTTGTTTAATCTTTTCGTTTGTATGTTAAATTCGTATTATTTCCACGAAAGTGCATTGAAAATGAAAATAGATTATCCAAATTTTAAAAATTTGGAACAAGTTCAATATGCTTTTCGCATCGGTTATTCAAGGGTTAATGAATTAAATACTTAGCGATTAATTTAATTAAACAGTTATGTAAACACATTAACTGTTGTATTTATAAAGTTAAAATTTTCATGTTTATTCAACGATTACTGGACAAGTGACTTTTCATGTTCTCATTTAATATTTGAAACTTTACATGGATAACTAATTCATCCGTCTCTAATCCTTATTTAATTATAGCAATTTGCATTCTGTCTAAACATATTGCGAAGAAAATGAATTCTAACCCGTGAACTGCTGCCAATTCTGAAATAAATGGTATGTTAACATGCTCAACGAACCCCGAACCCCGATACACATTCCCCCGGTGCGCTAATTTGAAAGTACGCGCTCGATAAATCCCCTTGAAAGTCTCGCATTGCGCGCCGAACGTAAAAACCGCGGGTTCAATTCAACTCGGGCACCGTGACTTATGGCCGATCAGCCAATATTTTTCTCTTAGGTGAAACGCCATTTCGCGTGCACACACACGGCCGAAACGAGTTTGCAATCCGAGTGCTGTAACTTCACGGTCCTCTTTTATGCGCCCAGTCGCTTCGATAAATCCTTGCCCCGTAGATTGATAATAATAATCGGGAGAACTTACGAGTCCCGGTTTGTTTATTATACACGCGAAATCACGAAGATCACATTTTTTTTCAACCCTTTTAGTACTGAATACTACCAGCCGAAACGTTCCGTATGGATGAATTAATATATACAATGCGTGATTAAGTTGTAATCGTAATTCCTTAGTTTTACCAGATTGAATAATGGCAAGAAACGTGCATATTAATATCGTACACTTATAATTGCCATCACGGCACGTATGAGATGAAAAAATACAACAGTGTCTTTCAAATGATCGAAGATTGAGGTTAGCAACAGGATAATTGAACAGTTTTTTAGAAAACACCGTGAGTACTAAAATTGGAAAGAATATTTTTCTATTATGTAAAAAACAGAAAAATTCTATACATAGTCTACGTCTGTTTGTTTCACAGTATTATTATCGATAACAGAAGAATAATATTTCATTTGGAATCAAAAGAACCGAGTACTATTTATCCTTGTCGAATTCCTTTTAAAATCGCTACGAGTCTGGCACGTTGCTATAAGGCAAGGGGTTAAAAGATGAATAATAAAGACATGAAAATGTACATTCTCACGAAGTGAATGCATAACTGTGTAGTGAAAGCTCTATGAATTCATATCAATGATCAACGAGCCAAGTCATCGAGACGCCGCGCCGTGTACGTAAGTGTTCGCGGATCGATTAAAATCACGTCGCCGTCAAGAATACCGTCGCTCGATGTGCGTAGGGAGAAACCGATAAGAATCCGAGATGCCTGCGTGTGGCCAGTTGTCTGTAAATACCCGTTTAATCTACAACGCTGAGCCTCATCAAGCCGCAAGTTCTTCGTACGCTAGGCGCCAGTTAGTGAACCGTTCACCCGGTGAACGATGGCTTAATTAAGCGACACGAGCGCCGAACGTCTTTTATTGTCTCATTTCCATAAATCACCGGAAACCGACTCCGCTGTTCTGTACATCGCGTTCCATCTCCACAATCTACGATACAATAAGATGTCACTGTTCCTATCCCGTTACAGTTCGCCGATGCACGTGTTGCAAGAATGACATCGAAAGATGTAACTTATTAGTCCAGACTAGTTTTATGCATCTTCAATTTTTAACCTCTTGCCTTATGATTTATTCCTTAACTATATTCGATACAACTACTTTATCATTAATAATTTATTAGGAAAAGACACCATTCTGATGCTTATTTTATGTCTATGTATACTTCAAATGATAACGACTGGTAACAAACAATTTATATTTAATTTAGATTAAAAAAAATAAATAACACTTGGATTTGTCAAATTCAGTTTAAAATTTTCGTTATAGGAGGATTTAAAAAGAAAACAAATAATTGTCACTAATCTTAGAATTAAAATAATTAAAGAAAAACTCCTTTGACATACGTTGTAAGAATTATGAAAAGTAATAAACAATTGATTTACTAAATTAATCGTTATTTCCTGTAATAATAAATTCTACTAATTAACTACATTATTTCATTACACGTTACAAATTTCGCAACCAAGAATCGATACAATCATTTCTGTTCATTTTGTGAAAACGTTATACTCATCGGGAAACGATTTTATCCGAAAAGGTATTCATTCTCACCTCATTAACACTTCTGCCAACTGCATAATTAGCCGTTGTACAATCACTTGAGTTACAGTCGGCTCGATACGATAGAAAATCATTGAGCAATACATACATGTAACACGTTTTCTTTTTCGTCTGTGACGCCGACGAAATTGAATTAAATACCCGATAACGAAGTAGAAGCAACGTTATTTGACCTCTAATTTCTAACGACAAGATATATTCCGTAATTAAGCCGAAAGCGTGGCGCGGAGAATGGGTGAGAACGGGGGGTGAGGGGGCCGTGGCTGGCGCGAGTCGAGGTGAACGCCGCCGCGAGGCCTGTTTTGCATAAAAATTATAAGCCGAATTAATGTTTTCACCTCCGTAAACGCGTGTACCCGTGCTCATGCGCCACGTAGTTTGCAGTCGGCCTGTGCGTGACTAACACAGTGGTTTATTACACGTTAATACTGATCCGGTACCGCCGGTGCTTTCTCACGCGCGGATCCCGACTCACCACTGCAAAAGAATGCAGTCACCTTGCCCTGCCGAACTTTTTTCCGTTCTTGTTCTCCATTATCTCTTATCTCATCCCTTGCCGTTCCTTTTTTCCTGGCAGCTTCAATTATATGTTGTCAACCGTTTACTACAGAATTTTTAGGTATTCTTGTTATGTTCGTGTCGCCATATTGCATTTCAGATCACGAGTTTGGACGTTCACTGCAAACGTCTCATATTTGTAACGGTTATAGTCTTCTACCTATTTTACATAAACGATGAAATTAATACTGTAGATACTGTTATTCAAGGTTATATAGCGTTATACTTTGGATTTCAGTGACTCCTTTTGTTGCAATTGTTCAACATTTTGTTTAAAAGATTTGTTGGGTTTTATTGAATATTGAGACCGAGGAGATAATCACGGAACGTTTTATGAAAATTTTGAATAACTTGATGATCAGTGTTTTAATATTGATTCTTTTTATTAAGATTATATTTGTATCTTTATTTATTATTAAGGTTACATTTTGTAATAGGCTACGCTAATAACTGTACAAAATTAATATATTTTAACACTAGATTTACGGACATTTATTGTATGGTTTATTTTGCTCCTAGAAAAATTCATATTTGTTCATTGCGAATTTGGAAGTTACATGTTTAAAAATAGATAATTAAATTACATAGCGGCGTCAGTCAAAGTCGACGTAAATATTTACTGAATAGTATTTATAAAATTCAATATATGTCAAATTGATGCGTTCCGTAAATCTAGTGTTAAGTAACAAATATAAAGATCCTTTCTTTTCCTCGGCGCCACCGAGTCGTCCATCTTCCTTCACTTTCTCTGACTGCACTAATATTTGATCTAATCAGGGTCGAATATTATGAGGGTAATAAAGATAGGACAATAATAATTTCCATGCAATTTTTTCTGTCTGCCCGCAGGTGGTTTGGCTGACCGCAGTCCTGTGCCCGCGGCTTGTTGCCGCCAACAACCTGACATTATCTTTCTCCTCTCGTAGGACCAGGGAACATCCTTTCAGGGGACATATCTCTCGCTGGTAAGTTGTACCGCAACTCAGACGTTTCTAACTCGCTTTAACGAATGCTTCTCAGTCGCGAAAACGTAGCGTGGAGCTGAAAAGTTGGCACTTCAAGGAAAATAATTTCTATTACTTAAAATATTAGACGGATTCATAACATATAGTTACGTGGAAATACTTTTTACAATAATTATTACATCGTTATTTCAATCTCATTAAAACTACAATTGACAAATGTGTCAAAATATTGTCCATACCTAACTTTTAACTCGTACAGAAGCAATGTGTCTTTTCAAATGCTGAAAGATCTGCTTAACCTCAAGGAAGCTTCATGTTCAGTATTCCTCAACCTCAACTATACGTAAACCACAAACTTCTCGTGCTGACTTTAAAAAAATGAATTTCGAGACTCCTACAACCGTCGAGAAGAAAAACCGTAAGTTAACACGTTGACTGCCATAACGGTCACTAATGGCCGATGCTTCTGAATTGCCTTAAAACAATTATACTATCTAAGATGACCGATGTCGCATAAAAATGTCCAATAAAGTAAGTAAATTGATAACTGTATAACGTAACGACTGTGATGTCAAATAATTAATAATTGTTCCCGTTCATCTTTGCTATGAAAGAATAAGTGTTACATAAAAAGACACACTCGTAATGTTGTTCTGATTGCTTTGATTTTAAACCAGCGTAAATAATGTAAAGTTACTACAGTTAATAGGCCTGCAGTAGATAAACTGTTAAAAGTGTCTTAAGCCAACTCTTCAGCGTCAAGCTACACGATTCCCCCTCCCAAAATAACGAATCGGCGAAATACCTTGACACCGTTCAACCCTCGCGCGGTAGCAGGTTTAACGCGAGTCACCTGACACATATCGATCAGCTGAATTTCAATTTTCAATCAGTGCTGGCCGATAGCCCGTATATCTCATCAGCCGTCGCGGCCGAAGCCTGCTCAATATTTATTGCCGCGAGTGTCAACCTGTCTTAATTATTATTAATGACTCGCGCGATACGTTCGCTCGTCGAATACGGAATCAGTCGAAGCTGCGTTGCGTGAAGCCCCGTCCCGCAGGCGTTGTCGCCTTTTCTATATTCCCTACCCCGGACATCGTCCGCGAGCTGCATTCTACCGCGCGATTTAGACACGAGCCGCTACGTTACCGGCACGAGTGGAATGTTCAGTCGAACCGTTCCGGTTACCGGGATTTTTTTCTGGTTTATTTTCTATTTTCAGTTCTCTCTCCTCCCCCCCCTCTCCCTCTCTTTTTATTTCTCTTTATCTGTTTTTCTCTTTCTCACCAACGAATCGCCCTCCCGTATCTAATTTCTAAACCTCGCGGCGACGGCCCGTTCACAGAAATTTCGAATGGTTTCTCTTGGTCTCATCAGTCTGCCTGTTTTTTCTCTCCGTTTGTCTGACTGTTTCTTTCTCTCTCTTTCTCTCTCTTTCTCTCTTTCTCTCTTTGTCTCTCTCTCTCTCTCTCTCTTTTTCTATTTCCCTTCTCTCCGGTACGGCGAACTCTTTCCAGGACGCAGACCTTGGACGACACGACCAAGCGGATGACTTATCGAGAGATGAACATGATTCTGCGACAGGAAGGAGGCGAGGACGGGCTTCCAGTCGATTGCTGCCCTACGGTATTGGAAATGGTGGAACCGGTCGGCGGTCGAAATCGGGACGACATGTACGTCCAGCTCTATCGGGATGGCCAGAACGCTCAGAGGTTCTTCGAGTACTCCTGCAGGCCAGACGTCCTCGACAAGCCGTGCAGGTTCATCGACCGGAAGTTCAGTAACCAGTCCAGATGTGTGCAAAAGTTCTCGTACACTTACGCTATCATTGAGAATTCTGGATCGAAGGTACGGATTAAGAATTAGCAACTTTGAGCTTCTGAGTAATCTTCGCTCTCGCGGCGTCCTCGGATCATCCTTGGATCGTGCGCGACGAGTTCATTAACTAATGTTAACGTTACAATCGAGAGATTTTACGGAAAGATTAGGAACTATCCGTTTGTTAACGTCTGTCAACGGGATGCCTAGGGAAATGAAGTTCTTTACAAGATTCAGTTTCACCAGTTAGATGTCCATGAAATGTTTTTAATTAGATTGTGACATGAATACGAACGAATAGCACATATATGCTGATTTATAATTTGGATTTAGTTTTTGTCATTCAAATTGTAAGAATTTATTTTATTTTTATATATTCCACGTTGAATAATCAGTCTTATTAAATTGCATGTTTACTGATTTTTATGAATCGAAAATGTGTTGTTTATTGAAATGAGGAAAATTTTCTGGAGTTGGCAAATTAAAATGTAATATTGTCAATTGTTCCCAGAAGGGTAATAAAAGAGAGCATAATAGGCACCATAGGGAACGCCTGACCTTCACCGCTAACACGGAGGGTGGATCGATGTGGACGTTGGACTACATCAGGGTACGAAGTGGCTGCAGCTGTGAGGTCATGCCGAAACCGAAAAAGAAGAAGAAATGCAAGAAATGCAAACCGAGGGGGGACCAAGACTTCTTCGACCCGGAGACGTGAGATCTGTGTTGGGGTTCGAGGAAATCGGCGCGGTCCTGCCTCGAAACTCGTCACACCACCGAGAGTTCGTTACGTCGAGTGACAAGCACGATCCCTCTGACTTCGACGATCCCGATATTCGTAAATGAAAACGCCTCAGAATAGTCTGGTCAAACATTATACCTTTTTGAGACTGAGAAATTCAATTGTCAGATTGTATAAGGTGATAAATAATTATTGACAGGATTCGTTTTCGTTCATCTGGGATCTTCAAATCAAATGGATCAAACATTGAAGCCTTTTTACATGGATAATGCTTGTTTACTTCTAAAGTGCCTTCTTAAATTACTTGTAACGTTTATACTAATATATCGTCGATGCGATAGAGATTGTCTTCTATTGCTGTATTTATTATTAATTTACTGTTAAGGATTAGCGATAGCGTTTTAGAGGGGAGGTTTTGCCAAACTGTATTCAACCTGTTTATTTTATTAAGATTAACTCTAAGTTGTTGATGATCACTGTAGCCGAATCGAATTCGATCGAACGTTCCAGATAAGCTATTCCGTATTTTTAAATCATATAGTTCTAATTTCATATATTTATGACATTAAAATGAATCAAAATTTTATTCACATTTAAGTATTAACTTCGGTAACAAAGTTCAAAGGAAGTTTTTTGGGAAGTGGTATTACAAATGATATTTTTAAAAATAATAATGACATTGAAACAACCGATTTTGATTCGGTTATAGTAGAACGGAGTCAGTAGAATCTCCTTAAGTGAATGCGGACAGACTGAAGAATTCGAAACGTTCGAGCGATAGAACTCCAAATTTGTTGGGCACATTTCTCAATCATTACTAGACTGCGGACGCTTATGCAAATATATATTTTATGGATTATTTTATAAAAATAAAAAGAAAATCAAAGAATGTTTACTTTCTACCGGATTTCGCTAAACTAAAAGTGGAATGCAAACGTTACTACTCTTAATTCGACATTTTCAAGTTTAATTTACTTGTAATTAAACGGTTTTTTAAGTTAAAGTTTCTTTTACATCATGTTGTTTTATAGCTGTATGTTCACCAATGCATAATATTCGCAGTTTAGGAATCCTTTAGATATATATTGAAAATAAATGAATAAAATCCGCAGACGAATCGTTAGGGTATATAAATGTACTAAAAATAATATACTCGGTATTATGTAACAATAGACAGACGTCTCGACCAAGCTTGTATTTAACACCTAAGCAATACTTTCCGTTCTTACACGCGGCCAGTTTTTATCATACACTCATATCTGTACATTACAGAGTTGTGCCTATTTGTTAATGTACTACGATAGTAATAAGAGTAACGTAGGTTTAGTAGCTTATTATTAGTTGTAACGTAACGTTTCACAGATCTGCATAGGATTCGTTATGGTATCGATAACGAGGGCCAAACAGACCGCTACTTAAATTTATTTAACTAATTCAACTTCTATTTAATACTAATTATTATTTTCGTTGTTTTTTTCCTGAAGCACTGACTAGAAGAATTAAAGGATGCAACGCAAAATGTTGCATTATGTAGTAGCCATGACAAATATCGATAAATCTGAGTATTTGGTAAGGTAATCCGTTGAAAATTCGAATAGCGAGTTGTGTAATCTACTATAAAATACGAATTCATTGAAAGTGTTGAATTTACTTTATAATTGAGTACATAAGTACTTTTTTACAAGTTTAATTTTTAAATATAGATATATCAAAACTTACATTAATTAAACGCACAAGATACAAACAAAGAGCTTCTACCATTTTAACAAACTTTACAATTTATTTGTTGTGTTGTACATATCAAAAAGGTACATAAATGTTGACATAAATATATATTTTTATTCCGTATGCGTTGTATTAATATAACACGTAAATTATAAGTAATAATCATTTCGTTTATAATTACAAATAGTGTTCGATAACAATGTACTTACATAAATCACAGTTGTCCGATGTACACAGCCATAATTACGAACAAATAGTTATTGTGTCATTTCACCATTTTAAAGTATTTATGAATGTACTATAGTAAATTACAAAGCATATTTTATTATTAAGGATCTTTATAATAAATATATTTTTTATTTTACCATCGTAATTGTCATTAATATTGCAACAAGCGATTTCAATTTGATAACACTCATGTATTATAATTACGTATAAGGCTTGCAGATTTATGTTCTGTATCGTCGTGTAAACATTGTACATAAATGATATTAATACAATTGTTATAAACCGTTATTCGCTCACTTCCTATCCCGTTGTTAGCATTAAAATAATTTACATATAATTTCTTTAAAAATGTTGTATCGCATATTGCAAAATAAATCAGTATATGTATAAAATAAAAAAAGAAGAAATGTAAACTTATATTGTAGAAATTTTATAATTATTATATTCATTTAAGACTCACAATTACAATACAGTTACTATGTAAATTTGATTTTAAAATTGAATATAATTCATTTTAGTTGATAATTTAGGTATCTATTTTAGTGACCGTAGGTAATAATTTTACAAACAAATATGAATAGTACGTACAGTGTCCTCTGTGATAAAGGATCTGAAACATGAAGGAAGATGTTGAACTCAGTCAATAATACAGATAGTCGTCCTAAGCTTTTGTCGATCTTTATTTTCACAGTGAACATATATACAACAGCTTCATTCACCATCATTATATGAAAATTTGTACAAGATATATTCCTGAAATATTTATTTATTCGTGTAAATATTCCAAATTAAAATGCTCAGTGGGTAACATTTAAACGAGTAAATCCATGCGCATGCAAGTAACTATACTAACATGCCAGCTACAGTGTAGTTCGGAAGGGGGTAAGCACAATTTAATTCGGAGGACATTCCGATCAGGTGCCATTCGCGGAGACACGTGTATGTAGATTTTTCGTTTGGCACCTGCCAACGAACAGGTGAAAAGATTGCCGCTGCACGATGATGTTCGTGCCTTTTATCACATACCTGTAATAACTTCTCATTGAAATCTTGACGTTCGTGTGTGGAGTACGCTGAATGATAAGAACAAGGCGGGCGAACTTATGAGAACGTTCGTACCGCCTTTCTTGACACGATACGCTGTAATTAGATGAAACGGGGCAGTACATCGAGAAATATTACGTTGCATGCTTGAAAATGTCCTCGGAAACTTCCCTGAGCGATGTGCCAAATGTCGTATCGAGACTACATAATTTACGCTTAAATCAGGAAGATGGGGATGATTCCCAGCCGAATGTGAATGTAAACGTCGCATCTGGAGATTCTTCTCCGGAGACTGCACGAAACACCCAACCCATTGGCAATGTCACCCTCTCTCGAGCCAGACGTGCACTCAACTTTGTTTGTGATGAGGATCAACCAACTTCTTCTATGGCTAGAAGCGGAGAGTCTTCATCTTCTAATGGGGATAAGTAAGTCTCCAAATAAGTTATATTCCTATGCTATGTTTTCAATCAATTGCATTTTACATATATTAAATATATAGTTGCATATAATCATAACATATTTATATTGACAATGTCTTTATATTAATTTTGATGGTATTAATGTTTTAGTAGGCCTCCAACAAATGCAGCAAATACGTTGCATTTGGAAGGAAGACCTCAGAATAATGTTGCCTTGGAAAATACATCGACAAATAGTCAAACTACTGTTGCGTACAATTGGCAAGGTACAAAAGCTACAATGCGCGAAAGAATTGTCTTTCTATTTAATAACGAAATACTGTCAGATGTGAGCTTCATAGTAGGAAGAGGAGCTCAGAAACAACGTATACCAGCCCATAAACTAGTCCTATCTTCTGGAAGTGCTGTTTTTGATGCAATGTTTAATGGAACACTTGCAACAACTTCTTCAGAAATAGAAGTACCTGATGTAGAACCAGTTGCTTTTTTGGCAGTGCTTCTTTTTTTATATACTGATAAGATAGAAATAGATCCTGAAAGTGTGATGATGACATTATATACAGCTAAGAAATATGCTGTTTCGGCTTTAGAAAAGCACTGTGTGGATTATTTAAAGAGTAACTTAACCAGTGATAATGCTTTCTTGCTTTTAACCCAAGCTCGTTTATTCGACGAACCTCAATTAGCTGCAGTTTGTTTGGATACCATAGATAGATTTACTACAGAAGCATTGAATGCAGATGGATTTACAGATATTGATATTGATACACTAAAGATTGTTTTGGAAAGAGACACTCTTCGTGTTAGAGAATCTAAAATATTCCAAGCAGTCTTAAGGTATATAAACTTACATTTATTTATCTCCTTACTGTGCTCAAAATTATCTATGTGATATTTGAAATAGATGGTCAGAATCAGAATGTATAAGACATCAACTACCAGTTACTCCAGAAAATCAACGTTTTGTGCTGGGTACTGCTTTCTCATTAATTCGTTTTCCTTTAATGTCTAAAGAAGAATTTACTGCTGGTCCTGCACAATCTGGACTTCTAAATTATGCTGAGGTTAATACTATGAACGAACAATTCAATATGTACCTTTAAACATTTCTTATACTAATGAAATGTGTTTTAGGTTCTTTCTTTGTTTTCATATTTCATACTGAACCCAAAACCAGTAGTTGAATTTCAAACAATGCCACGGTGTTGTATGACTGGTAAAGAACAAACTGTATGTAGGTTTCAACATACTAAAAGCAGATGGGGATATAACGGAACGAGTGATCGTATAAGGTGTGTATATGTTATATTCAATTATATTCTTATAATCTATATAATTTAATGAATTGTGGTTATAGATTTAGTGTTGATAGACGTATATTTCTTATTGGCTATGGAGTCTACGGTAGTATGCATGGTCCAGCAATATATGAAGTATTAATAGAGTTAATACACACTGCTTCTGGAAAAGTGATTGCTACAAATTCAACAAGTTTTAGCTGTGATGATTCAAAATACACTTATCGCTTAATGTTTAAAGAATTAGCAGAAATTTTACCAAATACGATTTATACAGCATCTGCAACATTTAAGGTCTGTGCCGTACAATATTAATTTATAGCTTTCTACATATCAAGTACTAATATTACATTGTAATCATTTCAGGGTCCTTATTCTTATTATGGAACTAAGGGCTTGAAAACTGTTATGGTAGATAGTGATTCAGGAAATGGAAAAGTTAAGTTTGAATTTAGTATTGAAGCAGGTGATAATAATGGAACGTCTACAGAGGAAGGGCAAATTCCTGAGCTTATATTTTACACTTAATAACTCATGTACATAATAACAACATTCCTTTAATCAGCTTCATTGTCTTTCAAAATTTAATACATTAAATTGAATTGTACAAAAAATTTTATATGTCAGTTTCTTTGTCAATTATATATATACATATACATACACATATATATGTGTGTGTGTATTTTTTTATTATTATTATTAAATACAGTGTTTTCAATTGAACGATCCACGAGTATGATAAGAAGTCTTTCAAACTATGTTTAAGCTGCAATTAAAATGATGGATATTTTATATAATATGTATTTCATTAAAACAATCGAGAATGAAATTTGTGGATCTCAAAAAGGGCCTTATTGGGACAAGAGACTGATTCATGCAACTGATGTAAAAGCAAGGCTGAAGTAAATGATTTATGTTTTAATCCACTGAGTATTTTAATGCTCGATTTCTTCAAAATTAAATGGAATTTTTTTAATTTTCTGCAAAACTTTAGAATGAATAACAATCAGTTTAAATTGGTATGTAAGTTTTAAGAAGTTTTATGAAAGTGGCTGTATGCTGAGCAAGTTGCAAATATCTATAATTGAAAACAATCTATTTTTCTATTTCTTCAAACAGTATGTACATGAGTGGTACTTTTCATATATAATAATGTGATCCTTGTGTAAATTGATGGACTATTATTTTTATTTACAATAATGTCCTATTTAAAATTTTGTCCTACTTTAAACTTCAACTTTGTCTTCATGATTATAAACTCTCTGTATAAAATAATACAGTTCAATAATTATTAAATAATTCTTTAAAAAAATTAGAAATTAATATTAAATTTGTTAAGATTCTGTTCCATTTTAATAGAACCATTGTACATTGTGTACATTTAGTAATTAAATAAAAGCAATATGCTGTCTTTATTTTGCTATTATTTAATTTCGGAAAGGTATAAACATAATACTCTGGAAAGTTCATGTATGCTTTCATTATAATGTTTGATATAACAAATCTTCCAAATTTGTTATTTTTTAATTAATTATGCAAACTAGTCAAACATGATTCATCTATATTTGCACAATGAAAGAAAACAATGCAATATTTTGCAACTATTATTTATATTTCAATTGTATCATATGTTGAAATAATGCACATATAAATATTAAGAAATTAAATAAACTATTTGTTCAAGGAAGAAATTTTATTTATCCTTTTCGACTTGGAACCTTGCAAATTTTTGCTTAAACAATTACTTTTTAATTTTCTATTAATTCATCACATGCATTATGACAAAATTTTTAATTAAAAAATTTTAAAGAAGTTGTTTTATTAATTTATAAATTTGTAAGTTTAAATTTATAAAACTATTTAAAAGAGGATTTTCTATTGGTAATTCCATAAGAGGTGTACCATATAATAATGTAAATGCATTTAACAAGTAAAATTAGCATGAGAATCTAATATGTATGTGATCTATTCTATAGCATTCAATCTATTAATAATCACTGTTTGTTATAATTTTTAGTCATTATGTAATTATTTATGTATTGTTTTTATTGGTCAAAGAAAGGAATTATAGGTGCATAATCTGAGTTCATAGTTCAGTGAGCAGCAAAAAAAATATATACACAAGGGATATTCGACGTTATGATGCATTAGTAAGTAAATAAATAAGTAAATAGATACAATTCCGAACGGATTGACGGATGACAAAGAGAAGGCGAAGAACTACCAGGATGGAGTAAATACTTCTTGAATTTACTGTTTTTATAGATTGAACAGCTCATGGATTTTCATGGCTCAAATCAGACTATTTTATCACGAACTTAAGATTCGTACAGATGCTGCATATTATGGGAATTTTATATAGGCATTTTTAACGGTGTCGGTATTTCAGAATGATAGAGAGAAAATTACATTGGTGTAACATCTGTACGGATCTTAAGTCTATGGTGAAATGAGCATTAAAATTCGTAGCTTCTAATTGTCGGTATTATAGATCACTGGCAATACGGAACCCCATAAAATATCCAGCCTATACTATACCTTGTCTATGACATAAAACCTCTCCAGTAATGATACTGAGAGTGTGTAGAGTGATTAGTAGTGTTGGTTAATATTTTTATGAAATTGTATCGAATTTCGGTACTAGTTGTTTTGCGCACTAACTCGTTATGGAGTCGTGGCTTATGTTTAGGTTTTGTTAACTACTGTAGTATGTGGACAACATACTTCAAAGTTATTATTGCTTAATTCTAGATTTAATAATAACAGTTATAACCTAAAACCCATTTGTATCAGATACGTTTATGAAGTGTGATATATATTACAATAGAAACGATACAATTCATTTCTTTTAGTATTTAGAGAAAAAATTCAATTAGTGCAAATAGTGACTGTGTTAACGTTATGACAAAAAAAATATTTGACAAGGTTTCATATACATTATTCCCATGGCTAAAGGAAAATTAAGAGGCTCAGACTCCAATAATAAGGTATTTACATTCCTGGAGTAATGGTATAATGGTAGATATTGTTTAGATTAATGCACTTTCTATAATAAACAGTTAGCAACATCCAATGCAACCTTTAAAAATGGAGAAACTTACACATCAGAGTTTGAAATTAATGAAATACCACCTAGTGCCCGCACATTGCTTACGAAGGGTTATATACAAGATGAGATTAATTCCTATTCTGGTAGATATCCACATATCACAACATTATACTATGTTTCTTTTATAACTTGGTTCATCTTCCATTAGCATATTAAATATCTTTTAGGTGCCACTGTGTCAACACGTGGGCGTTTTATGACAGAGCAAGAAAAGATACGTTGTCCTAATGAACGTCCTTTATATCTATATATACAGGGCCATACAAAACATAATGTAGATTGTATGTTATTTTTCTTTAATATCTTGTTTAAAAAAGTTAGAAAAAAAAGTACTTTAAAATTCTTTCTTTGTTACCTTTCTTTTAGTGGCTATACAAAAAATCAATGAGATTATTAAAACAGAACATCAGAGTTCATTAAATAGGCCAAGTAGATTTACTAATGCACCACCACCACTTATGAGTTTACATTCCGGAGTTACATCTGTGGTATGTTATGTTTTTGTATAACAATCTTTGTTTTTATACTTTATGCATTTATTTATCTACATACACATAATCATAACAGGAAAAGATCTGTGTTGGGATAGAGAATGCTCCAGAAGGGTTTGATTTACGAGGTAGAATTATAGGTGCAGGTGGAGCAAATTTGTTATATATTAGAGGAGAAACCGGTGCAAATGTAACATTAAGGGGCAGAGGATCACAGTTTATCGATCCAATTTTAGGAACTGAATCTCCAGAACCACTTCATTTGTATATAGAGTAAGATCATTGCTAATGCCTCTCTTAAAAGCACTTTAATTTTGTAATTGCAAAGCATGTTATATGGTTTGTTTATATAGGCATCCAAAACCGGAAGCATTACAAAATGCAAAACAGTTAGCAATTAATTTAATTCAAACAATGCAGTCTGAATTACAGTCATACATACAGCAACAACCACCACCAGTACAATCACAGCAAGTTATAGAACAGTCGCAAATACAACAAAGTATGAATTCTAACTGTTTTTAATGAGCATTGTGTACTGTTATACATTGTTACTATTGCTATTTTAATTTTTATAGCAGAATTTCAAACCATGAACATTGGTACTTTGGGACAACCTAATGTTGTTACTATACAACATCAAGGTAGAGCACATACACTAATAGTTCATGGCTATTAGAAATTCCATTTGTAACTGTTGTAAACCATTTTTATTTAACAGATATAATACAACACCCACAAAGTAGTGTAGTAACATTACCAGCAACAATTCTCACTGCTACAGTAGCTGGTGGACCAGGGTCTGGTATAACAGTTCCTCCTCCTGGAGTACACATTCCTCCTCATTCTGGACCATTAGTACCACCACCACAAGCTCAGGTGTGCTTGCATAATTATTAAAATTGAAATAGATTTATTGTTAATTTTAATAAAATTTATCATTATTCACTGATATATTTCATATTTAGGAAATACAAACATTCATGCCGCCTCCACCAGTTGGTCAAGTACAATTAATTGGTCCTCCATCAACAGTAAGTCAAGTGCAATATCAGATTCATCCTGGACAACCATTACAAATTCAAGGGCTTCAACCTGGATCACAATCATCTCCTCAACCTGTGGCTCAAATGTATGTAATGAGTCAACCACCACCACAGAATCCAGGTCAACAAAACTTTATCACAAGTAGCAGTGCACCGGTTAGTGGTGCTGTTTCTTATGTGTACACACAACCAAATGTGCAAAGGCCTTCTACACCTCCACAAGGGATTATTGAAGCTGTTAATGTGAATTTACAACAACCACCACCAGCAGCGCCAATTAACATAACTCAGCAACCACCACCACCATTATTACATCTTCATTTTCCTCCTCCAAACTTTCCCCCGAATCAACCACCACCTCCTGTACCACAAACTTATCAAATACAATATCAGCAGGTACAAGCACCTGTATCACAATCACAAACTCAGTTTGTGTTGCAATCTGGCGAACATATTGTTCCACCCCAGTTACAACAAAATCATGAGCAGTCACAGGCAGTAACTCAACATATGTTACCTCCGCAATTTGAAGGTCATACTCCCCAATTTCATTTACAAGTACCTCCTCCATCTACACAGACCTTCTTAGTCCCCAATGCTCAATCACCACAACACCCGCAACAACATCCTCTTACCCCTGGAAGTGAAGTTCAACATCAACAAGAAGGACCAGTTGATCAAGGACCCCAGCCACAGCCAGTTCCACCTCCACAAATTGTACCACCGCCATCAGGTGCTCAAATGACAAATTCTATGAATGTTCTTACTAGTATCCCTCCGCCGACGCAAGCACCACCTCCACAAAATGCTCCGTGGTTGTATCCACCACAGCAACCGCAACAGATGTTGCAATCTCAAGGACAATTGCAGGTAATTTTCTATTCACTTATGTTTACTGAATGTTACTGTCATTTTTGTATCATTAAATAAAAGTGGCAATTCTTAATTATGTAGGTTCAAATGCCACCGACAAATATGCCTCTGCATAATGTACCTCCCCCACAAGTTCAGGCACATATACAATACCATGCTCAACATATGCAATATCAGAATGGTCATATGCCACCGCAAGTACACTATACAGTACAGCCACCGCCTCAACAGTTTGATCAGAAACCTGAATCACCTGAACAAAAATCTCATGGTGTAAAGAGAAGGTTTTCAGATGTTGAATCAAATCCGGTAAGTATTCGAGGTTATAACATTTTTTAAGACATATTCGTTGTTATAAAATGCTTGATAATTCATATTAACTGTTTCTTGTAAATGATAGGAAGCACCACCATATCAGTGTGGCCCACTACCGGCTCAGCGACATGGAACAGGGTAAGTAAAATAATTAGTATATGAATTTTCTTTTGTATTTACAATTAGTATAATTATTACGTTTATGTGTGTGGAAATATATTTTCACACATATATGGCAGTTTTGCAATGTGTAAAAACATAAAAAATTAATTGCATGAATAAAGCAGGTTTAAAGATTTTAATTATTTAATAAATATATGAATATTAAAAAAGGGTTATACTTATTTTTATAGCTAACGTCGATGTGATATTTGATAAAATTCAAAATTTAACATTTTTTATTTTTTTATAATATTAAATTTACAAGAAATATTTTTTTTTATTGCTTCTAACTATTTGGTGCACTAGTACTAAGCCATTGCTATCTTCGATAATTTTTGAAAGCTGCTTTATAAATAATATTTTAGATATAAAAATTGTAAGTTAAATGCAGCCAATTTATTATATGTATTCATTATATAATGTGCTTGAACACATGCACTTGAATACATTAAATTTCTTTCAGAAACCTGCTTTGATCAAGATCTACCAAAATCAGTATATAGGAAGGAATCACATTCAAATATTAAAAGACATAGTTATACCTAGATTTTTTAAATAATAACACTGTTATTTTAAAAGTTAAAAACATTTGATATTATAGTGTAAGGAACATTAATTTATTGTTGTCAAGCTACAAATTGGTAATGAAAATTTTCTATATCCACAACCACAACCAATTTATTTTTAAACAATTGTTTTGCGTATAATAAGAATTTAAATTGCAATAAAACTGAGTCTAGTAAATCATGTAAAATTGTTTAAAGTAAGTGATTGTGAATATAATAAATTTATTCACAGAATATTATGTTAGACAGAGTACTATGTTTGTGTTGTTTTTTGGTAACAATTTTTTTGTAAATACAATTTGAAGAGTTCTTCTAAATTTATAATATATATTTACAATAGTAATAATTAATAAAAGCTTGTATATAATACATATCTTTATAATTAATTATAAGATCTTAACAAAAATTATTCGTTAGAAAAGATACTATTTTTGTATTTGTTGATGTTACTGCTTTACAGATATCAAATATCAAATGATTGGACATACTTATAATAATAATATTCTGTGTTAAAAATACAACTAAATACATATTGCATAAGGTTTGTATTATTAACTGTAACTTGGAGATACCAAGTACTTTTAATATTTCAGAAGTGTCCACGGCAGATCATCAGGTGATATTTGCTTAAATTTTGAAATGTTTATCTGTAATAATCAAATGTGTGTTAATAATTTGTAACTCAATTGTTTAAGCAGAGAAGGTGATCGGCAGCAACAAGTCTTACATGGTCCGTCACCAACAGCTGCGGGTCTACCTCATGGAGATCGAAACAAGCTGCTAATGCCACCTCCACATCCAGGTCTGTAACTAAGAGTATTCAAGATGAAAGAGTGCTGGATACCTCTTGGAAATTAATGCATGAAATGCATTAGATTTCTTATTATTAATCAACATAAAATATTTCAGAATATATTTGAGCTTAATTATATTGCAATATTTATTCACATGTATATAATTTAACAAAATGTTTGTACTATTATTTCAGACGGGTATTCAGCATTGTTTCTCAATACTCTTAGCCTGTAGTATATTATATACTGTAAATATATATTTTTGCTAAACAGTATAAATTTCTTCTTACTCTTAATTGATACATATTAGCAATCTGTTTTTTTCATGTATTCATTCAAACGCATTGCAGATGGGCGACAGGAATATCTACAAGGTTAATGATCCTATGATGCAAATTGCTTTCCATTTAACTTTATTTATTATTATTTAGAATTAACAAACATTTCGCTACATTATATAATTACAACAGTTAACTTGAATGTCTTAATTTTAATGCTTTTTCATCATATGTTTTTGATTAAGATGTATGAATTTTCAGAATTGTATAAGAAAGTAATTTTACATTTCAGTGATTGCTTTTAACCGATATTAACTATAATTATTATTCTTCATGTTATGTTAAAATATATTTTAATCTGAGTATTTTAAGTTTAACAAATTAAAGCCTCAAGGTTGTATAATCTGCGGATCAGACATCTGAAGCCGAGCATGCGAATACACGGAGTAGCAGCGCACGTTGTCATATGAATGTTAACCATTCTTATTTTCACAAATTATTTACTCGAGTTTGTTATGTGTGCAAAAAATTTGCAGAAATGCGTTGGTTCTTGCTGAATAGCTGTCTACCATTGATTCTGTTATTTATTTATATATTACAGTGAACCAACTGATGAGTTAGTGGAGTGTTTTAACCAGAAATCTGAATTACATGGGATGAAAATGTATTTTTAAATATGAGTTTTCTTTTACAGATTACAAACTAGTTCAACAACACTAAATAAGTAGGATAAACGCGATATGGTAATGGTGACACCATGATCGATTCTATGAATCTATTTATTACCTGTTTTCAGCTATCTATAGTGATTATAATTGTTATTTTTTTTAGTTAAAACTGGCCAATGGCGTGAAATATTGTTATTTACAAGATCAAAGTTTTCTTACAATACAGTAACCTCTTGAACAATAAAAATAAAAGACAGTGGTGGTTAGTTAGTCCTTAAAAAGAAAATTGCATTTACAATACTTTAATCTTTTTAGTATTGTTACAATATTTCATTACGTTATTTGCCATATTTAGATATACAATACATTTTACGATATAACCGTTTTGGATCTTCCAATAAAATTCTTTTCATTTTATGAATTGTTATTATTTAGGTGAAAAGCGGAGCTTAGATCAAAAATCTGCAGGCATAAATTCAGGTATACTCAACATTTATTACAGTATACTTCTTTCAATTTTCTGTTCTCTGCAAAACAGATATCGTTAAGTTGGTATGCTTTTGTGACAGGAAATGAGCAGAATCCAATGGGAGATTCTGTAAACATTCACCCTGGAAGTGGCCCGCCTTTACCTCCTCCACTTCCACCACAAGCACCATGGCAGACACATCATGTCAGAGCACCATGGGGTAGACCACCACCAATGCCAAGAGATGGAGAGCATCAAGGAATATGTCCTACTCTACCTCCAACGAACATGCCTCCACCTCAAATTAGACCCAGAGGTATTCATAAAGAATCATGATAATGATTATGATTGAGTTTGTGTAATTATGCGAGTTTTAGAAATCTTGTTCCGAAATGAATATGTGGAATCTGTCCATATACTTTTCAATTTACTTGATCCTATATAATACGTTATTCTGGTTAACTGTTATACTAAGTACTTGATAGAGACAAATATAGAGAGAAACATTTGATGTTCAAAGGCGTTCTTGATATCTTAAATGCCACAATTGTAAATAAATAAATTTGTTTAATATATGTGCTCTATAAAATGGAACCTATTTTTATGTAAACTGTGTTTACGATTTAAACTTTTAGGTTTCATTGTGAATTGAATGCATAAAGTAATGTCCCAATGTTCTTATGATTACTTAGGACCCGTTGAAGGTAATCGATCGCCTGTTCAAAATGCGATACTGGAGCACCCGATGAATATCGAGTATAATCAAATGCCACAGTATACGACAAAACCTCCTCCTTACAATTCACATCCATTGATGCAATCCATTTGTAATCCACCGCCACCTCCTCCGCCGCATCATCAACAGCGACCGCAGCATCCTTCCCAGTCGTTGCAGCATTACCAGGTGCCAATTTCTCAAGCATATCAACCACCAACCTCCTGTCCACCGTGGATGAATTGAATTGAAGGAAAATGAGAACACAATAGACGTGAACGAACTTCGTACGCTAGTACCTTGTAAAGATGACTGATGCAGTCCGTCCGTCCGACTACATCGACGCCATTCCACCGCGAGTCTTATTGACACGTTGGAGCCACGTTAAACGGATGGACATCGCATTACGTTATCTTCATTCAATTGTTCCTTGCGATAGTTAATTATAATTTAAATATCCGTTGCGTCGACGGTGTCGCTGTAGAATATGCTGTTCTGTAAAGTGAAAACTGTGTACATGTTACGAAATTGTAGTTAAAAAGTGTAAGGCTTTAGATAGCGATACGCTAGTAACGAATTTATAAATACCCTGTTAATGAGTGAGAAGAGTAACTCGATTACCCGATCTAATTAGGTATAACATCGAGTCGCGGTAGTCCATTGTTTCTAATGAAAGACTACTCTTCTAATTATCGGTGCAATGCGGACGCATATAGTTAGAATGAAGTTATAGTTCCAACAGATGAAATGCTTTCGGGATTCACGCACACAGATTCATCGTAAAAATCTAGGAGTACATACTTTTTGTAATTTATAGAACATAATTAGCCGCTCTAGAATTTAACATACGCTGCCTGTTTCTTTTTTTCCCCATCGGTATACCGTACCGTATCATCTGTTCATAGACAATACACACACGGTACATGGGATTTTATATGCAAACGCGAATAAATCGTTGCTGACATCTTCGACGAAGCGTTATCCAAATTCCAGGGTTTCCTTTAGCGCGAAATTATAGCGCGATCCTACATGTTGTGTGCTCTGTGAGCAAAGCGAGACCAGTGTAACGAATTAACCACTATAATAGTACAACGCCCCTGATTTTACAACTAAGTGAACAGGGTGACTATTCGCTCCTCTCCACGCCTGCGACTTTAATACAGGAATTTTTAAAGCAGTATGATATTTTAGCGTTATACGATTATACATCACTCTCGAATCGAATGAATTTCAATTGATGTACTAAATCCTTCACATTGAGTTAAGCCACCGTTTTTTTATGATTTAGTTATAGAAATATATTTTCCGATGGAATATCATTTTTTGAATAAATTAATTTAATCATAATCACTGATTTATTTGGTCCCTTTCTTTAGGCATATTGAAACCTATCGCGGAATTTTTAATTAATCAGTTTTAAAAATTTTATTATAATATGATAATACTACGATTACCATTTCGACTGCACGATAAAGTATTTGATAGATTTTGGACAATCTTCAATATTTAATATCCACCTCAGTTAACTGTTATCGCTAAAACAGCCCTGTTTTTGCTGCCAATCGTTCGTTGTTTTAATTAAAGCTATTAAACGGTCCAACACGATACCCACAGTGATGGAATATTAGATTTTTATGCAGCACAAAATTCTATTTAATACAAATCCGATGAAGCCGTACGCCACTGAAATTGTCTGTCGTTACGTGGTCGAATGGCACGCATTAAAGGGCACAATGGAATGGACTGCCATAAAATGGAGGCCGTTACAATGTGTAATTAAAAGAGAACGTCAAGATTTTGCGGCAATGATACAGTTGTTCAAGAAACATATTTTATGCTGAAAATAAATTGATCGTATGGTACCACCATTTTTATTTATAAATATAGTCAGCTTTATTTAAGAATTTGTTTTAAAAAAAAATATAATTTTATTAATATGAACACCAAAGAATCAATTTGTGTATCTATAATATTTATTAAAGAATATCGATTATAAAGGTAAGTCAATATCAACTTTTATTTCAGTTTATTTCAGTTCTTTGTGTTTATTTAGAGATAGACAATGCTCAGCGTTATTATACATCGTGATTTGCTATTTTCGATTGTGTAGTGAAAACTACAATATCGGTTAAAATCTAATTTGACGTTTCACGAATCAATTACGGGACGAAGTGGCACACTTCATCGTTCAGTTACCCTTCCGTCATTGAAATCATAACCAATTCTCTCGAATGAGGAATAAAGCTCGTCAAAATCGGGGGACTGGGTCGGTTTGATGCCGCCTACTTTCAGATCAATTATCTCGAATGAGTAATAAAGCTAGCTAAAATCAGGGGAATGATCAGTTTCACGCTGACTATTTTCAGCAATGTCCCAGGTTTGTCCGTCCTCGTCACATCAGCTGGTCGCAGCCGCTGTTGCTTTCCGGCGTGCACGTCGTAGGTTCCCAAAAAATTATGGTCTTTCTGGTAATTCTGAGGATGCGATGAAACTCGACAAGGTAACCTCTTTCGAAATATAATACCAAAATATTTTAATATATTATGAGCACCGAAATAAACGAATATTAATCATAATATCTCTCATGCTCGCTTTATCTCAAAATTATCTATTATATCCATATATTATTATCCATCAAGATGTTACGGATTAGATGATACTTACAATATTCATCATTTACATTATATTTTCATAACATTTATGTTTCAAAACTAAATTTTATCTCTATATTTTGTAAATTTACTTATTCGTTAAAAAAATGCTTCAATTGCTTTCTGATAGTAATTACAGAAAACGCTTCTGTTTAGCGTTACATTAATGTTATATTTTTAGTTAGTTCTATCTAAGACGAATTTAAAACAGAATTTTTATACACATTGTATATTATATTTAATGACAAATCGAATCAGGCTGAAAGTGTAACGGGGAACCAGGACCTGCACGAGCAAGAAAATTTACCGTTTTCTTCAAGAAAATACTCGAACTCGAGATCAGGTCGTGCTGAGACTAAGGCGGTCTGGAGCGACGAGTACGGCGAAAGTGGCTCGATCAAGGAAAACTTACTTCAGAAACCAATAATCTGCAGTTGCTGTCGTAAACGCAACGAGGCTGCAAAAGCTAACGAACCGGCGAACGTTTTTAAGACAGCGGATCAGTGCAGCGCGGGGGATACGCTTGACATCGTTCCAAGCAAAGAATACAATGAGATCTCGAAGAAAGGCGATCCCTCGAAATCAGAACAACCGGACAAGTACAATTTCACTAGTTCTTTTAGCAGAAATGATATTGTATCCAGCCATCCTCGTATTACGACGGATGTTGTAGTTCTATTTCTCAATAACAAACGAACAATAACAGAGATATCAGACTGTAGATCTTCAAGCAAATTTATGCGGTGAACAATTAATGCGTAAAAATAAAAGATAAAATAATTCATCCCATGATAGACTTATTTGAGTTATACGCAGAATAAAAATTGTGTCTAACGCTATTGAAATGTATTGCAATATTCTTCTTACTATTAATTAAACGATCATTAAGAAACCGTATAATTACGATTTAAATATCAATTTAAAAAGTTTCTATGGAAATTAATTTGTAATATCACTGGTCTCCCTTAGAAATGTATTCTCGGCAAAATAGCTTGATGTCCATAGCAGGGTTTTCCGCAGAGTAACTTATTTTATTTCCAGTTCCGACGTAAGAATGATGAAAAGTTTCATAACGGAGTCCAGAAATTCTAGTCGTTGCCGCACTTCGTATTCCCATTCACGGAGACGAAGCCCAAAAGATACTTCGGCCAAATTGGATTCCGTTAATCTTCTATACAGCGAAGGATACGATCGGGTAGATAACATTAAAGGCAGCAGCCCGTCCGAGAAACGGAGTAAGTTGAAATTCCTCGCGTTCCTGAATCACGGCGACGTCTCGATGAATTATCGCGATAATTTCACTTCGTTTAGAGTGCAACACGGAGGAACACGGTTGCGGCCGTCCTGGCTGCAAACCGGATTGCCGAAACTCCCGGTCGAGGCTGAACATTTTTGGATCGCACACGGATAACTCGCACGCCAACATTCACCGGGCATGCGATTTTCATTGCGTGAAACATTCCAATATCGATTTGCTGCGGTCGCGCCAGGATTTTTGTCGTTACCTGAATCGCAATCATTGCTGCCATCATAACTGTTGTTATCATTGCAACGGGGAAGATCATCGCAGGTTCGTGAAACGTTTGTGCTGTCACTTTTGAAATCATTGATTACAGACGGAAATAGTAAATAATAATCATATATTTTTCTTATATTATGATGGCAGCACATAAAAAGTGAAAGTTTGTAGTGTCGATTAAAAAATCAGTTCGCCGCAATTGGTAACTAGAATCGAATAAGTTTAACGAGAAACATATAAATTTTGAAGACTTGTTTATTTTATATATAAATGTTCTTATATTTATTATATTTATGTATTTTTATATTTACTTTATTTTATATCGTGATAATTAGACCGCCGATTTTTATGTATTTATGGAAAATTGGAAGGTGCAAAATCACATTGGATGCACGCGATACGTAGAAATATATAAAAATCTGAAATGCTTTTTATAGAATTTTTTGCAAAAAACTATTCGCCACCGTAATTATATTATTATAATTATATTCTTGAAAATTTGAATTCGCATAAAGACCCGCAGTCCAGTAATAATTTATTTCATGCCATAGAAACAACGTGTCATTATTATCTAAAATGAAGAAAATTTTCTTCTTAGTGTTTCGTCAAAAGAAAAACCACGGCTCGCCTCGGACACTTGCCTCTGTTCGTCGAATTCCGTCAGTCAGAAAAGGTGCTCCAGCAAAGGCTACGTAACATGCGAGTCGGTCTGCCATCACGATTGCCATTTAAGGGATTTAGAGAAGATATCCACTGTTCAGGAGCAGAAGGATGAAGAGTGCGACGATTGCGTGGGCACGATCGATCACAAGGATTCCCTGTGTATCTTGGCGGAGAAGTACAAGGGCACCAAGAAGTGCAGGCAGAAGAAGTATTTAGGTGAAAACGAATTCTCGGACGATCGAGTGAAGGATGATTGCAACAAGTCATTCACTTCCGAAATCAGCTGTCAAATGGACGAAAGCACGAACCTAAAGCATCGAGAAAGATATTTCGCCAACGACAAGAAACCATGCAGAGCCGGTTGCGTGCCGATTTTCCGGGAGGGGGACTACAATCAGTTAAAAAATTTAAAGTCTCGTTTAATGAAGACTGGAATATGCTGCTCTGCGAAAGGCACGCCATGGAGACACACGTTTTAGGCCTGACTAAATCCCAGATTGTCTTGTCTCTTGTATTTTTAGGACAGTTCTTTATATACGTCATATTTCTCTATAAAAAGATGACTTCGGATGGTTCGTGTTTATTTTAAACTTGTAAAAAACTTGACAAGTGAAACATGGTTCTTAGATATCTATGAAGGATACAAATTGTATAACGGTTTTTAGGAATACTATGTTAGTTTCTTCGTATTGTACCATGACATGATTTATTTATACGTATACACGTATTTTATAAGTTTGCTTTTGTTTCGTATCGTCGTGTACAATTGCAGCTATCATTTTTTAATAAACTGTAAATTGTTTATACCCGCCACGTTCTAAAGTTGTGTCATTGTTAGTATTTTCTCTATATTGATGCTGTTATGAGAATTTCGGCCAAGCCAATTTTCTTTACGATCATCGTAAGTACTTTCAAGGAAACGTACAAGCAAGGTTTAACTTCATCGCGAAGGAACTTACGCGTTTTAGGGAACTATTTTTTTAAAAGTATTAAGCTAATAAAGTTAATCAAGCTATTTTGGAAATATATTGCTTTAATAAAGTTAATAAACGAGGACATTTATATCATTCTGCCGCATTTCCCGCGGTACTGGTCTCTTGGGCAACATTTGGCTCTTCTTATTCCTCCTGGTGCTTATGTTTCTCGGCCTCCTTCTTTTCTTCCCCTTCTTCTTCCTCTCCCTCTGTAACAGCGTTAGTTATTAATTGATTTGCGCATTGCGCGTGAAATAAACTTCTAACCGCAGATTCCATGCAACAGAACTCTTTAAAAGAAGTTTCGTTATATTCATTTGTATTCCGTATATTGTTATCTTCTTAATCGCTTGTCTCACGATTTTTTTTACAACTATCTTCTTTAAAGATTTATCATGCTTGATAATTAACTAGAAGAATAAGAATTCCATGTTAACCCCTTGCCATACAATATCAAGTTAGCCTCGTCAGAAAGTCCTTAATCGGAAGTTACAAAAATTGAATGACACTCAGTTATCTTAGGTTCAAATAAAATATTATTTTTCCATTTATTAATTGTTATATTCTGAAGTAAAGGTGGATATGGATGAATTGGGAATTATTCTTTGTTCTTTGGTAAATTATTAATGAAAAAGTTATCCTAGCGAGCGTAATTATAAAAGAAATCACAGGGCAAAGGGTTAATTGAAACCTTTATAGAGCTAAAACGCGACTCGTTTGTGAATGGAAAGTTTTAAATATTTATTTTTTCAAATGTTAAATTAAGACTCCCGTTCACCTTCGGCTTCTTCTCTCAATTTTATCAGATATTTGATTTCAAGCTGCGATTGTGGTTTAACGTTAGTAGGCAATTGCTCCGTCGTGATTTCAACTTCCGACGCTCGCTGCTCATCCATTTCCGTTTCCGTCAACTGTTCTTCCGCGTATTCTGCGTCGGTATTCACTTCCGATTCCACTGCTGGACGGTATTTAGAATCAAGAATGGGTTCTGTGATCACCATTTCCTCTGTTTCTGTGCGGGAATTGATACACGATATTTGATCGTTTAATCGTTTGCTGCCAATTTAAGGGGATCTTTCCGTTACCGTTATACTTTTCCATGTGTTCAGCCTCGTTTTCTTTTTCTTCTTCGTCTTCTTCTCTGTATTCTTCGTCTTCTGCCGATTCCATGGGATCTAGTTGAAATAATGTTACTAGTTATTTAAGAATTTAGTTTGCTTTATAAATTAAATATTATTTTATTGTACATTGAAATATTTACAATTCGTGTGATGTTGATGGTCTGGTAATTAAGAATTTGGTAATTAAATTATTCTTTTATAATTGACAAGTTCAATTAATAATTATAATTATATATATTTTTTATATATATATTATAAGTATATTTATATAAATAATTAAAGATTTTAAATCGATTATTATGTGTTATATATTCAATAACTATCAGTGATCATTAATTATCTTATAAATATTATCGTGTATCGTAATTCGAATGAACCTATTCGAATCGTGTTCAAATATTCACCCTCTATCGATACACGCGATACCCTCAAGCGTTCTTTGAAAGCCATCTGAACTTTCGTGCTGGTGATCGTTAACTCCTCCCGAGTACCGTATTCCGCGGGGACATCTTCGCGGGATATTACTTTTTTGAACACTTTCTGATGCAAAGAGTCGAGAACAGCTTCAACGACCATCGACTTCGTTGACTCCAATCGTCTCACATCGTAACTACCTTTTCTTTCGCGATATTGTTTGTAGGCTCTCTGAATCGAAAAGAAATATAAGCGTAACGTCTGGAATACAAATACTCTGTCAAATGTAAATGTAAATACAGTATTCCAGTATATAGACACAGCAAACATTTTAACTATCTCCTTTTATCCTTCATATAATAATTATATCGATGATCCTCGCGTGAAGCTACACTAAGAGCAAAACCAAATAACGAAACGAAATGTGTTAAGTGTAAGTAACCGTGTAATTATATTATAAACAAAATGGAATAATTTAGAATTCAATTTCCTAGCGAAACCTTATTTTCCCTAGATATCGATGAAGATTATATTACTTGAATAATCGTGGCAGCCTCGTTGGCTTTCTCTAACGTCAAACCAGAGTCCTCGTACATCATCTCCATCCAAGCGACCGCTTGAATGGCTTCCGCGGGCTCCAGTAAACGTACATCCCTTTTGAGCTGCTCTTCTGTTTCTGCTGTGGATATTCACATTATTGAATCCCGTGATGCCTCTATGATTCACGGAAAATTTCGTACGACGATACAAAATGAAAATCTTACGAGCGTCCATCTTCTGGTTTCTTCTAGTGTAATAGCCGCGATAGGCGAACTACGCGTGACGAATGATCGATTCAATGTTTTCGCAGGTGATATTGCGAAAAAAGGAAAGGAAACAAATAAACGACGTGCGGGGTGCTTACTTTTATATGTGTCGCGGCTTTTGAAACCTCTGCCTGTGTGGCGCCGGCTTTTCTCAGGATATCCAACGTATTTGTCACTGCCTTCTGCCATTGAACTTTCCCCTGAGATTCGTTCAGGGCCATCCTTTCGTAGTGGCCGCGAAAAGCTGCCTGATATTTTTTTTGTAGAATTTATATTTAAAATTTGTGCATTTTCATGATCGTTATTCTGATGTAGTCGTTATAGATCTAATTATTAGTGTGACTGTTATCCTTTTTTATATTTGCAATATCTTTTAACAATTTAATATACAAACTATGGGTTTATTAATTGGTAGCGCTGTATTTGCGATAGAGTAACTGATTATGCGAATACGAAATTTTTTATAAGAAGTCGAAGGTACAAACTGATATCGAAGAAATATAAGAATTAATTGTGTAAAACACAACAGAGAACTTAGAGTTTAAATCACATTTTTATTTAAAGATATATTAACGTAGTTGAAACTTACTTGAATCACTGCAGCAGCCCGTTCAGCATTCTTTCGCGTTGATCCAGTCGCTTCTAGGATACTTCGTATGGAAATCTTTGACTCTTCGTCACAAGTGTAATCTGCGTTCAAGGTTAATACATTTGCTGTGCAATGAGTCTACATAGAGTTAAACAATGATTTTCTATATATGGATTTAAATGTGGAAGGACGAATAAATTTGTAGAAAGTTATTGTAAATTTTCAATCAATGACGAACAGTGCATGATGTTAACACTATTTTTACTGAAGCTGTCAAAAGATATCTTCTCAAACTTTAACTTCAAATTAGTTTCCACATGTAATTATTCTTCTTCGATTTAAAAAATCATTTGAAGTTAAAATTTGAAAGGATGTCTTGATACCTTTGGTTAAATAGTATTACTGCATTTTCTCATAATTTCGACCGTTATATGTTTACAAACTCCTTCTGAATTAAAATGGCCTAAAAATAAAGCAATTTTGTGTACTTTCTTTAAGATTCATGTCTAGTTCCCTTACCTCCGCATACGTGTCCCGGTCGCGTGTCAACCGCGTCTAAGTACAGTCGGAATGCTTTCTGGAAAACGAAGTAACAAAAAGAACATTTCGGAACGAAATTCCCCATGCAAGTATTGATAAGCGTCAGACACGCTATAATAAAATTTACCTGGATTCGCGGTGCTGCGACTGCTATCTGCTCCAAAGTAAAACCGGCCCGGTAAAGTATGGATAGAATTGCTTGGCTTCCGAGTAATATATTGTTTACGACTTTAACCGCGACTGGAACGGGGAAGAACGTTTTTTTGCACAGTTACGTAAAAGTAGTAAGGAAAAGTAACAGGAATCGACACTGACAGAAATTGAATCCATCGATATATTCACCTTTTGTGTTTTCCCTCGTTATTAAAAGTGTATCCACGTATTCAGCAATGAATGCGTACAAATCCGTGGGTTGCGATCTGAGTACCTAATATCCAATGAACAATTAATAACAATGATCTTTGTAAATATTTTTCATCATGTTATACGAAGATTATCTATAATATATATAATATAGATTCTACATCTATAGCTTTCGATTCCACGTAGACATAGGGCAAGTCAAGACACGTTTAATAAATATTATAGCTTCTCCCTAATGTTATTGTTTCAAAATAATAAAAATTCATAACTTAACACTAGATTTACGGACGTTTACTGTACAGTGTGTTCCATCGTTCTTAAAAATATTGATATTTGTTCATTTAGATCTTGTAAATTACAGCTTTAAAAGTAGACAATTAGGGTATATATTTGCGTAATTGCATGAATCAAAACCGACCCAACATTTACCGAATAATGTTTATAAAATTCAATATGTGTCAAATTGACTCGTTCCGTAAATCTAGTGTTAATAATCAGCAATACTTCTGAATGAGTATATATTTCAGCAGGACAAGCATGAAAATAAGAAATCTCGTGAATGTTAAGTGTTTATAAAGAAATGAAAATGCCAATAAAGAAAGGGCATTACAAACCTGCGTTTAGTATCACTAAAATATTAATAACTGATTCTGAAATGCAATTTAATATATT